TGAGAATGTGCATCGTCTATAGTACCTAAAGAGTTCTGTAGTCGCCAACGAAGTAAAAAGTATTTATCTGGGAGTTTAAAATAGTTCTTCACCGCAAGTACTCGGATTGAATGCCTGCATAATATTCCTGAATGATCAAACTCTTTACAGGCACAGTGGACTTGCTCGTCATCTTGTGTCCAACTAACAAGACGCTCGACATCCATTTTCTTATAGTGTTGCAAAAGATATGAACCATTTCCCATTTCTGTAGCAACATATTGCATGGATAGCACAATTTCATTTTGCAACACATTGAAGGCATAAGGTGTAAGAGTACTCTGTGCATGCTCTTCTATAGGCATGCCTGTCTTAATATGTAAATACTGCATACCTTCTTTGGCTCGACTTCCGGAGTAAGCAGCATTACTGACCTGCAAGAAAAACATAGGCAAAAGACTGAAAGATTTAGTTTGATATGATAACCAGTATAAATCTCCTGCCCCACTGCCCCAGCAAGAAAGATCAATGCAACGTCCCAAGCCCACCGCTAGCAGATATTATCCTCTTTGGGCTTTCCCTTTTCGGGCTTCCCCTCAAGGTTTTTAAAACACGTCTGCTAGGGAGAGGTTTCTACACCCTTATAAAGGGTGTTTTGTTCTCCTCCCCAACCGATGTGGGATCTCACAAACAAGAAGTAGCGCAGTTAACTATACCTGTTCAAAGAATACTTGCAAACATGTCTGTGCCCCCAAGATTCTTTTCAAGAACGTTTCTAAGGATTGAAAGAAATCAGCTGTCAGTGTACGAGCAAGAAAGGAACTTCTAATGAAGGAAAACGGCCATGATGCTCGATATAAATATAGTAAAGCTATATGCTTATCAGAAGCAAGACCAAATTGTGCAACCAAGAGATCCCATTGATGCTCAAAATCGGATATATTCTCCAGATGCCACAACATATCAAACTGAACTTTAAAGTCTGCATAGTGCAATCCAAGGGGCAACAAGAACCAACTTGATAGTTTAGATAGAATATGCCATATACATACGACGTGTTTAGTATTAGGCAGTTCTCTTGATATGGCATCTCTGAGCCCTGAGTCTATATCAGTTAGAATAGTCCGTGGATGCTTTCCTCTCATGAATTGTACAAATTTCTGTTAAAAATAAAAATAGAAACTGTGAAAAGACACGTGTAGGTAGGTGCACACACGACAAGAAATTGCGTCCACAAACCTGTAGAGCCCAAGAAAATGAATGCGAGTTTTCTTCCTGCAGCAAGACGCAGCCGAATATAATTGCCTTTCCATGATTGCTCATGCCAAACCAAACTCCAAGGAGTAACCCATAGGTAAGAGAGCGATAGCTCGTGTCAAAAGAAACTACATCACCGAGCACAGAATAAGCATGAATAGGATCACCATATGCCCATGATAGATTTTCAACCTTACCATTTTCATCTCTAGTATAATCAAAAACAAACTCTGTATCCCTCTTGGCCATAGCCTTGCATATCTCAAGAAGCTCCAGCAATTCGTTCTCTCTTTTCTCATTCAGCAAAGCATCATTCTCTTCAACAGTTTTCTTACAAGTCCTAACGAAGTTCCTAACATCCTTCTCTATAAAGGGCAACTGTCCAGGTTGTACACCCTTTTCTAACTCCAACACCTTCAGAATCCTGTTCACGGGAAATCCAGCTTTGGAGAGTAATAGGATGCGTTCTTGATCGGCCTCCTGTATTTTTCGATATGCTGGAAGCAGACGCACCTGGTCATCTTCCAACAACTCATGATTATGAACATTACTGAACTGTGACACATACCATTGACTAACACCATCTACAATTTCCTTGGTCAAATACAATTTAGCATCACAGCCACATCTTACAGATTTCCGCTCCCGAGGGTGTTCCACATTGGCCTTCTTCCTTGGTTGATTATATCCAGACCGATAACAAACAAAATCTCGTCTATAAACCCCTAAATTTTGGCTTTCTGTTGAACGTGCTTTTCTAATTGAGAACCCGTTCTTCCGAGCAAAGTTGCTGTAGTATTCAAAGGCATCCTCATCACTTTTGAATATTTGACCAACATAGGGAGCGAAAACAGATTCTGAAGATAATTGAGAGGGTACCGTCTCACTCTTCACCAGCCGGCCACTTATTGAGGCCTGATCTTCACCTTCGTATCTAATATAGCATTTCCAATCTCCACATGGGCACTGCTGGCGTCGAATCCAAATGTTAGCCGGTAGCTTCATTGCCATTTCTGGAGAAAACATAATCTTCACGCTCCACTTTCATGCTGGTAATATGAAAAAGGAAATGTAGATCTACATTTGATCATTCAAATAAAGAACAGCAAAGGCCTCCTCTTAAATAAAAAAGAATACATATACACAATTCCGTACATAAGCATTATCTTTAAATAATAAAAGAACTGAACAATAAGAAGCAGAAGGTACAATCCACTTCAATAACACATTCACATCACCTCAACCAGGTCTTGCTAGCTGGACCTAAATAATGTAAGATAAACAATAAACCTTAACCTAAAGTTATTATTTTTCTCTTAACATCCAATTGATCCAATAACTTAACCAAAACGTCTGGCAGATTAGAAAACCAAAAAGCTCCAATCAGTTAGGCAGAGAAAATGCCCTTTAAATTTATGAATGTATCTTAAAAACACTTCACTTTTCCGTTTCCAGTTCGGTATGTCGTTCCAAGTTTAGCATCTGGATGAAGGGAAAGAAACAATTTCATGAATGTATCTATGTGTGCAAATGCAGATATATAATTTTGTTTTGTATTAAAACATAGGGCTTAGCTATAAATGGCAAGCAAGAAAAGAACTGAAGAGTAAAGAAACAACTAAAGTTCAGTTCAAGTGGCAGTAACCACATTTCATTACTGAGCTCATAGACTTAAAATTCAACGAGAAAACACAAAAAAAGCAAATATTTCCTTTCAGAGCAAAATCCACTTGAGAGAAGAGATTAAAATGTAAAGAAATTGTAGTAAAATCCCCAAATTGAGCATTGCACAGCACCTGTTCGACAAAATGCAACAAAGAAACCTGCGAATATCACTAAACGGAAGCAAGGATAACACTTCATAAATGCAACTAACAAGCCATCCAGATTGTATTTTGCAGCTTTTCTCAAGCATCAGGTTGAATTACCAATACAGTAATGAGAAACAAACCAACGGAAGCAGAATTTGAAGAATTGAAAGTTTACAGAGGATCAAGAATCAATAAATTCAAGCAAAGGGAACCGCGAGCAGAAAGATGAGGAAAAGACTGATCAAACAGGAAATATTTGCCGGGAAAGAAAAGGCGTTGAAAACGAAAAAACTAACCTTTAGAATCCTCGAGTGATCACATCCCCCATTGTTTGAAGCTTTGGTTTGAACAAAATCCATATTCATTTTCGTATTAATTTATTAAACGTGAATTTACACTTTTGTCCCCATGTTGCATTAGATTCAATTTAATAGCATTTTTGTTCCCTCAATTTTAAGTAATTAGATGACATGACTTTTTTTTTTTTTTTTTTTTTTTAAATTTTAAAT